TGAGCTAATAAAGCATCTTGAGATCCCAACTCTAGAATTTCTCTTTTCTGTCTTGACTCCCTTTTAGTAGGTAAATCATAATCATTTGCTACCATAGCATCGATCAACTCTATAGCCTCCTCCGGTGTTTTAAAACGCATACTACCTCCAGCTGAGGCATCCAATAGAATTTTCACCCGTGGCTGCAATCCACCCAGAAAAATATTAACCTGAGTAAGGTCATCAAATCCATGACTTGGACATCTCCTCAACAAGGATTTGTATCTCTCCCAAGCCTCGGAAAGAAGTTCATCTTGCTTTTGAGAGAATGTGACAATCTCACTCTTTGCTTGATTGATCTTAGCAAGAGGGAAGAATCTTGCCAAGAACTTTGTCTCTATGTCAGACCACCTGGTTAAGCTTTGATGTGGTAGAGCATTGAGCCACATCTTAGCTTTCCCCAGTAGTGAGAAAGGAAATAGCTTCATTCGAATCACCTCTTCAGGAACTTGATGTATCTTCACTGTGCCACAAAGCTCAATAAAAGTATGAAGATGCAGATATGGGTCCTCATGATCAAGACCCGCAAATTGATTATTCTGAATTAGATTCAATAGTGCTAGCTTCAACTCAAAATTAGTGGCAACAATTGCAGGAGTGACAATGCTAGAGAAATGAGTAGTACCAGTATCAGCTGCATGATCACCAAGAGTAATTCTTGGTCTTTCCTCTGCCATTTCTACTTCCTCTAAGATTTCAGATAAAGAATGATTGAGAGAGGACGAAGTAGCCTCTATGTGTTGTGCTTGCTTGGCTAGTAACCTTTGCTTCCTTACTGCTCCCCTGTTCCTCCTAGCTGTTTTCTCAATTTCCGGGTCGTAAGCTAAATCACTAGCAGGAACAGTACCTCGCATAAACCAAAATCACAAAGCTACAACAAACGGTCAGCAACAAAGACACAATGAATTAAAAGAAAAGGAATATAGTAATTGCAAAATGTAAAAGAATAAATGAATCAAAGCCTAGATTAGTAATCCAAGTGACTTTGCCTAAGTATTGAGACGCAAGTCCCCGACAACGGCGCCAGAAACTTGTTATCTCGTTTGGCAAGTGTACCAAATCGTATAAATAGTTCAATGAAAGTATGAGTATCGTCTCCCAAGGGACTTGCGCAACACTTTACAATTTCACTTGTTATACTAACTAAGCTACCGAAAAGCAATAAGAGTTTGATTTGCTGCAGTAAATAATGTAAACAAGCAATAACAATTCTTTTTGGAATTTTGGTAAACACTTAAAGTGCAAAACTTGATTCTAATGCAATATTTATAAATTGTTGGGGTTTAACTTCACTAAACCTTCCTCTCATGTTTATCACTAAGTTCACAATAGTTATTATTCAGAATTTATCAATCACTCTCAAAAGTAACCAACCCTAATCTCTTACAAGTTGGCATCTTAGTTGCTAGCTTAAACTATTAATCTCTTGCATAATTTAACCAAGAAACCAGCTTTAAAAACAAGAGCTTAAGAAAGACCAATGGCATTTACTCTATCTCTAGCAATAAGCACCATTAGCTGCTCTATTTCAAGTCAAAGGTTTAAAATCATTTCTCAATCTCTTAAAAACCTTAAGTTCAAGTTAAGGGTGATCAAGCCATAACAAGCATTATGCACAGAAAAAGAGCAATAAAACTGAATAACAACTTAGATTGATAGCTTAGAGTTTACACATGAGAATGGGTTTAGTTACATCAAACCCCAACAAGGGTGAGTTTAGCTACACATAGACATGTAGAACTCTACAAATGATGAAGAAAGGAAGAAGCTTGATCTTGAAGGTTCCAGAGCTCTCCAGCCGCCACACACACTCCAAGAATGATCCTCCTTGCTTCTCTCCTCGAAAATCCCACTTTTAGGTCATAAAAGCTTTTGTCTTATGTGAATAATGACATGTCAGCACAATCCACGCTAAGCCTCAGTTCCACGCTCAGCGTGGGGATCAAAATTCTGTTCCAGGGATTCTCTGCCATGCTGAGGCTAAGCGTGGATCTGGGGCTTAGCCTGGGGACTTAACCAAAAATTCCTTCAACTTCAAATTCACCACTTTGTGCTTGACTTCCTTCCTTCTTTCCTAGCTTTCTCCTAAACTACAAAACAACAACCAAATACTTGTAAGTTACCTAAAAACATGATTCAAAAACAAAATGTGATCACCTAACAATTTAGATATGTTTTGAGTTAAAAACAAAGTCAAAAGCAAGGAAAATTGATATAAGTGCTTCAAACTAGGCCATAAACTTAATGAAATCATAGCACTTATCACACCTTCTTTTTTTTTTTTTTTTAAATGTTTTAGGTACCAACTTTGTATGTAGCCACAAGTACTAGATACAGGTAAGTGATCGCTATGTGTTTGGTGTGAAATTTAGAGTACTCATGCTTCAAAGATAAATATTTATATGTTGAGTATAGTATGTAAATGAAATATCAAATATCTGTAAACTTGATACCTTGAAGGTTTTGAATTAAAATGTGATGTCAAGTTCATTGTGTAGTTTGTTCATGACTTGTTGATGGAGTTTGTCTCGACGTTTAACTTCTTCGTATTTCCAATAATTGGTATCTAATTTGATAGTCAACAAGATGATCAACTCAAACAAGTATTAGACAACGAAATTGGTGTGAATCTCTTGTGTTGAAATTTTTTCCAACGATGTGTAGGTTAAACAGTGATAGACCATGGGCTAAGGGTCCAATAACTAGAGCTATGGCTAGGAGAATACAAGAAGAGTTGGACCTCTTGAAGACTAGTGGGCTTCTTAAGCCCAAGGTACTCTTCACTTGGACTACTCTACCATGAAGAGAAGGCCTAGTTCTATTTGTGTATAATTTGTACATAGTTCTCTTGTATAGGGTTATTTTTGTCTTTGTATTTGTGAGGCACTTTTAGGTCATTTTATTAGTCATTGTATATTGATTTTAAGGTAGGTTACTTGGAGAGTTTAACTCCATTTAACCTCCCTTATTGATACATTCATTTTCTATTTTTACAGTAGGAGAAAAGAGATGGCATTTAGCAATACTTGAGGGTGTGACTAGTAATTGAGCCAGAATTGGGCCTAGGCAAAATTTACATATTGGACTCATTTTTTTTCTAATTTTTCATAGATTTGATTTAGCTATATCTCACCATCATTGGATGAACCTAACTAAACCAAATCAAATATTTTTGAAATAACCAAAGTGAGCAAATTAGAGACTTGGCCGCCCACTTTGCCTTGTTCCTTTGCCTTGGCCAAAATTGCTTCTCACTGTCATCAAGCTTAGAAGCTTGAAGCACAAGCTTCTCCTTAGCTTGCTTACCAAGCAAGCTAAGTGAGTAGCTTGCTCTCCAAGTTTCTAAACCTTGGACGGTCAAGTTAACCTCACCATGGTTCCTAGTGAACCATGGTTAAGGTTAGCTTACTCTCCAAGCTACCTCTCCCTATATATTTGTAATTCCTTCATTGTAGCTCACTTTTGACATTTATGAGATATAGAATTATGAATTCTCTCTCATTTTTCAAGAGTCCAAAACCGTGAGAACTTCCCTCTTAGTTCTCTCTCAAAAGTTCTTCTCCTAGAAGCTTAGTTCCTCAAGCTTCTTCATCTCTTCAAGAGCCAACCGAACCTCTCTTTGGTGCTTCTCCTCCATTGGAGATTTCTTCAAGGAGCTTCCGCCATTTTCAAGTGTTCAACCTCAAGGAGTAAGGTCCTTGGATGTTAGAAATCTTGAAGAACACCAATCCTCTTGAAGTTCCTTCCATCATTTTTGGTATCTAGAGCCTAGTGCTCTTGAGGTTATGTGTTTCTAATCTTTTTCGTTGAATCCGTGTTGTTCCTTGCTTGTCTATGTCTAAATTTGTGTTTGTTGTATGGATCTAAGCCTAATACACATTTTGGTGGATCCTATATGTCTCAAATGAATTAATTGATTCATGTTTGCTTGTTTCTAATTCTTCTTGAATCAAATGTATTTGTGGGCCTTGGTTCCTTTAAACTTGTGCATTTTTTATGTTTTTTTGAGTCTTCTTCATTCATTTTTTATGTTTTTTTGAGTCTTCTTCATTCATTAACATGTGTCTGTGATTGGACAACATTCATATTGCATTAGTTTTGTTTTTGAATCACTTGTTTTGTCTAGAAGTCATGTGTATTCCTTTTACATGTTGTAAATTCCTAGATTAGCTTGTTTGACCTAATTTTTTGTGTTGTTTGAGTCAAATAGTTTGGTGTGTCTTTTGCTTTATAAATATGAGCCTACTTAAATGTTCTTTTTCTTTATATGATTGAGTTCATGATTTTCTATTAGTTCTAGTAAATTTCCTAGAGTTAGGTTTCTTTTATATCATATTAAAAGTTTTGTCAAAAAAAATTTGTCAAACACTATTCCTATTAGGTTTCGTTGAGTTTGTTCTTGTGGCTGAAACTTAAAACAATTCTTAAGGCATAAAAACAGAGACAAAACAGAGGTGTTATTGTTCTTAAAGCAAGAGAAAAAGAAAAGAAAATAGTGCTTGAAAATTGGACCTAAAATTATTACAAAATTGTGAAGTACTAGTTGAATGTTTCAGGTGAACATCTCTTGTTTTGTGTAATTTCTTTGGCAGCAGTTTTATTAGCTTAA